GTTTATATGATTTATAGTAACTGTAGACAAAATATAATGTGTAACACGAGTGCAAACTGCCTTAGCCCACTAATAACACAAATAACTATTCCATCACTCTGAACAGAAAATACCCATTTTGGATAACATCTGATATCAAAGAAAGTATTTGTTTCGCAAGCTCTAATTTAGAGCGGAATGGGCACACGGGAGGGACTAAGGCTAAAGGTGTAGTGACGTCATATCTCTAATGGCTAATGTCTACTCTTGAGGCAACACGATTACCGTAACGAAACGATGCGATTTCAGCGGTGTTCGTGGCATAATTGGTAGCGTTTCGAATTGGTGTTCTGGAGGTCCCGGGTTCGAATCCTGCTGGCAGCTCTAACTTTTTGTCAACAAATTTTTTATATCAGCAAGTTTGGTTGGTTAGGTTAGGTTATGACAGTTTGATTTTATAATACTAAATTTTAAAATTAATTTAATAATTAATTTTATAATTAATTAAAAATTATAAGTAATCATTAATTCGATTTTTATCTTATACAGTTTTTATATTATCAGCAAGTCTGGTTGGTTAGGTAATGTTATGACAGTTTTATTTAAAAAAATAAAAATTTATTTTATAATTTAAAAACAATATTTTATAATTAAAAAGTTAATTTTATAAGTAAAAATAAAATAAAAAATTAAATTTGTTCAACTTAGCGGTTCTAGCGGCGAACGCTGGCACTACAAGATATGTTAGCCTTAGTCCCTCCCGTGTGCCCCACCGAATTTAGAGCAAGGGAAAACGAACAGCTGATTATCCCTTGCACTACGTTGATCTCAATCCCATCTCCATCATCCCACAACGCGCTAGTGTTTGTTTACAATAATTTGTTTTTATTATTGAAATCAGCTGTTTTTATTGTTCAACAATATAAATGTTGTATTACAATTCATTGTGTAGCCCCTGAACTGTTTAATTAAACTATTATTTAAGTATCATACCTTTACGTCCACAGCTCAATAGAGTGTAGTCAAACTACATGTTACTAATACTAATACTAATACTAATCACTACATGTTACTAATTGTTGAATGTCTTGTCGTCTTATATGTCTATTTATGTTCTTGACGAGTATCTCTTTTAGGTCACTACTATATAACTTTAAATTAATTTTATCATTAACTGTATTCAGCTCATTCATAAGGAAAAATCTGTTTAGAAATGAAACATTTGCTTCGGGTTTGAAATATGTACAGGAAACTAAGTGTACGGTAGCGCCCAGCGACCACAGAATTAAAATTGTAAATTAAATTTTAATTCTGTGGTCGCTGGTAGCGCCTGCCGCGGAGCAAACAGGCAATTGAAGTACAGCACCTACAATGCGTCTGAAAACTGAAGGCGTTTCAAGCTCCTTCTGTGGCTAAAATATTATTTTCTGTCTTTTGTTTATTTTCTGATATTCTTCCTGTTTATACTTCACGCATAAAAAAAATAAATTTATCAGAAAACAAATTTGTTGACAAACAATTATGTTGAAACCACTGGTTTCACAATATTAGGAATTATAATGTTTTTAGGTAAATATTATCCAGTTTTGGTTTTTTTTTAAATAATATTTTCATTAATGTGCCAATGAAATATCAATATAGCAATATTATAATGTATTGATAGTGTTATTATTAGATAATTTTTTTCAAAGCAGTGAAATGTGCAAAAGAGAAAAATAGAGTTTTTATAACTTAAATTATTATTGTTGATTATGCTAACTTTATACCCAAGTCAAACTGAAATCACAACTTATTTACAACCATAGCAGCTTTTATGTCCCATCACATTAAATAATAATAATTATTGTAATCTATCTATATATTAATAGGCAAGCATGTTTCTTTAAAACCTTTTTTCTCAGCTCGTGTTCATCGTAGGGAAAATCTACGCATACCGTTAGAAAACTATTTTCCTGTAGGTGTGCAGAATCCCTTTATAAATTTAAATAGGCTCAAAGATAAGCACAAAAAATGAGTTTAAAAATTTGAAAATATTAACATGGATCTTATGCGTTGCCATGCTGGTAACGAAAATAACAACGAAATATAAACAGAAAACCAAAACAAATGGAAGAAACTCAAATCACATGTTTTATTTTCAGTGTGGGGTGAAAATAGATAAGTGAGTACATTACGTATTTTTGGTCGAGTTTCGACCACTGGACGACCTCTCGTATCAAATTAAATTAAGGGATATACTAGCGAACTTCCCATTTAGGGTAAAAGCTATTACTATAGGTCTCGTGGCAAGACCTTGGCTCACTGATTTACTTTTTTGTTTTGAGATCCCCAGAGGCCAAAAACGCCATCCATTTAAAGATATATAGATAACTCGAGCTGAGATAATTTGATTTTGACCAAATTCAGGAAATCTATTTATTTCATACCAAACTTTAAACCTTTCACAAAATAAAAACTCTGTGTATTACCTTCTCTGTAGCAGCAAACCTGAGCACTCGTTAAACTATATTTAAAGTGGGAATAAATCTGACATTTTGATTAGAGATATTTTTATGGAAATATAATCTGACAAAGGAAATTTGCTTAGTCTGCAGGTTTTCTCTGGCGGTATCTTACATTAATACAGCCACAGTGGTGCTACTTTTATTTTTTTGTTATTATTGTACTATCTATACTATTATATAAAAATCTAATGGTGTCTGTCTGTATGTGTGTTACTAATAGGTGCAAAACACTACTTAACCAACTGGGCTTAAATTTTACAAACATATAGCTACCATACCAAGGACCATTATAGGACTATTCACATTTCGATACTGACCGTAGGCTTTGCCCCTTTGGCTTCAAATGTTCTGAGGTGAACATTTTAAAAGTAAATATTGATTGATCTCCATGGCTGCAATGAGAACGAGAACACTAACAATGTTTGTTTACATTTGCTTTGACATTGAAATGTAAACAAGAACTGCTAAACTGCATATTTCACAATTTCAGACAGCTGATACAAAGAAATTAAATATAATATTTGCCATAACTATGAGGTAGGTTTATTTTAATTAGGGATGGACGAGATTGGATTTTTAGTTCGAGACGAGACAAGACGAGATTTTTTATTTCTCATAAAATTTCGAGACGAGATCGAGACGGGATATCCCTTCTCATACACAACGGGAAATGCACATTCAAAATTTTTACCTGATTTTGTAACATTGTTAGATGATTGTTTAAATACAAAAATAATGATAATAGGCAAGAATATTTACAATCTTTTGTTAAAAACATCAGCATAAATTTTTTTTATTAATCACGCCTAACTTATTAAAAATGCCTACGATTAGGAAACAAAGTGATATCAGTTAGGATAGAGTTCAACTTATCCTAAAATAAAATAAATCATAAAATAAAAGCAATATTAATTTTTATAAAATAGTTACTTGTTTTGACTTTTTATAGTAATAAAACATTTCTCACACTGCTTACACTTAACAAAACTTCTCAAATGTTATTAAAGTAATATTATTAAAATAATTAAAGTAATATTTACAATTAAAGAATTAATTAAATAAGAACGCCTTCGCAAAGGAAACGCAACTACAACACGCTCCTGTATTGCGGGTATTGCATTGACTTTCTGCAGGCGTTTTTAATTTTTTTTTTATTATTATTCTTGTCTTGATAAAAATCTCGGCCAAAAAGAAATCTCGTCTCGTGTAACGAGATTTAAAATTTCCCGAAAATTTCCCGAAATTTCGAGACTTGACCATCCCTAATTTTAATCTAACCTTTTATCATGGATTATTTATTCTAAAACTATGTCAATGATTATAGAAAAAAAACTGATTCTATAACCGTTGCTGTATCAACTCCGGCTCTGCTTTGGATTTTTTAAAGCGTCTAAGTTATGAAAATAATGTTATTGATTTGTTTTCATGGAAACAGTATGAAAATTACAATGTATAGATGTTTTGTATGAATTTGAAGGCTACTTTAAATAAATTGTAACTGCTTAACATGTGTTAGATTAACTTAACATAACTTGCACATCACATTGTTTTTTATATGTATATGTAGGTAAATTAAGTTATTGTAAGGCAATGGACGATGGAACTGATTAAAAGAACTTGTTTGTATATTAAGTTGTTTGTTGATATTTTTGTAGAGTATAATCAGAGATGCAATGAAACATATACTGTATTTGCTATTACATTTCTTAGTCCTTGATGCTTTGATAATCATATTAGTTTTGTCTGCTGTCTTTAATGCTAAATTATTTGTTTAAAATTGTTTATAGTACCTATAGATATAGTTTCTTTAATATTTCAAAAGACTGTATTGATAAGGCACAGCAATATTTCTAAACTTTATAACAGCTGACTTAGAGCTAATGATTTATTGTGAGTGAAGAAACTGAAGACGGAAGGATTTGTGATGTAATATAAAGAAGAGTGAAATTTTAAAAAATGTTCATTTAAATTTGATAATTAGTATTTTTGCAACTTCAAAATTGAAATTTTAAATGTTAATAATAAATTAAAAGATATGTGATATGTGAAAGGGAGATGAAGGTAAATCATGTATGTCAAAGTTTTATTCATTTGGTCAGTTTTTCTCATATCAACCTACACAAGACTTCTTAAAATTAATCAAAACCAAAATAATGGTATCCACTACTTACCGGTACCAGATTTAAAAGTCATAACTTAAACGTTCCTATTAAGGCCATAAAAGTTGAATTTTGTTTCTAAAAGCGTTGGCGGATGTGTAACTATTATATGCAACAGATGTAAAGATTAAAATGTTTCTATTTTGTGTCCTCTTCCCGTTGCAAAGCACGGGTACAACAGCTAGTTCATTATAAAATTATTTTAACCATGATTGCAAACGTTTTCTTTCCTGTGTGATTTGACCTAGCCACAGCTGGTAAAGGTAATTCAATCTAAACTCTTTGTAAAAATAGATGTGCCTTAAGTTACAGTTGTGCAGACAATTACACATTTCATAAAATCAAGTTTTATTTCCAGAGAAGGACCAATACTTCAGACCCTCAGCAACGGCAGCCTACCTTCACGCGATGCGGAACCAAAGACCCTCTTACAAGATTCGCAACTTCGTAGAGTCGCCCGAGCCCGCGACTCTCAGGGGTACCAACCACTATGACCCGTCACTGTTGTGGACTGGTCTAGGACGACGCAGACGCTAAACTGTTGGCACTACTGAATAATCTCACACTATCAATATTATTTCTAACACCTAGTCCATGGAATTATGTATTGTACATATCATGAGTGGAGAATTTGTTTCATGTTTTCGTTAATTAAAAAATTAAAACATTTTCTTAGCGGAGGAATTTGGCATGTTTTATTTTTTATTCAGGTTCGGTGATCGTTGTAGTTTAGATAATTATGCTTAGTATACCACAGTGTGGGAGGGGGACTCTTCAAATAAGATTTCCAATTAAAAAAGCAAAATTTTATAGCCTACTAAATTTATTAAACATTTTTGCCATAGCACACACATTATTTTTCACTTTTATAAAGTCACAGTTGCAATGTTTTAACAGGTTTGAAAAGAAACATTTTTAAAATCTTGAGTTGGCCATTTCCCCATAATTTTATCACAAATTTTTACTCTTATGCATTATTTTTTTAGTTAAATTTCACTCTAGAAGTTTTTAGTAAAAAGAAAGTTGTTTTATTCCTTTTTATTTATTACAACCTGAGGTAAACCAATAGGACTCTTTAGATTGCTCTAATTTAAATAAATATGGACAATTTTAGACGTTTTGAAGTTTTAAACTATTTTATAGAACCATCATGAAAAATTGTGATGTTTATATCAATAAATTACATAGTATTTCTGTCCTTTTAACAAACTCAAAAATTACCTTAATTTTATATAAAAAAATTATGAGTGAAATTTTGTTTCAATTTTATAATCTTCACAGTAGTGTGAGAATACGACAATTGATTGAAATAACTTCCTGATTTCTATTTGATCAGAACTAACTTTTTATCACTAAGTTACATCAGCAAAATTAATTCTACCATATTATTAAGCGATTGATTACGAGACAATGAATTTAATTTTCTCGAATAAATATGTACTCATTTATTTTTGTATCTTAAGTAGTTTTTAGGAAAGTAATTTCATGTTGTTGCAATAGAAGTAACATGTAGAGAAAAGTTAATAAACAGTTTTATTTACAATGATTTAATTTGTAAGCACCTTATAACTGTGACATTCACGTTTCAATTACTGATTGTACAACCAAGAGCTTCTCATGGTTTTAATTAGATTTTTCCAATAATCAAATACTAAATCAATTAGGTTATGGATAACTGTAAGACCAGACAAATGCATTTAAAAATACATCAAATATTTCAACACAATATTTTTTCAGACTGTTAAATATTGAGCGACCATTAGGAAGATGGCAGGAAGATAAGCTTTATATATGTATCAGTATTCCATAGTTTCAGGGACTTGAGCATTTTAAAACCAAGTTGTTACAATTCGCAACAATCTTGTCAAATGGTACTCAAAATACAATTAAACAACTTACAGCTAAAATATTCTGGGAGATAGGTTTCCAAAACACAGTTACAGAAAATAAATATATATTCAGTGATAAACATTTAAACATTACGATATGTTGTAAAATGTCATGAACAGTCAAAAATGAAAATCATAAAAACAACACAAAAACCAAAATGTGTTTGAATTAAAAACAGAATAAATGTCTCGAAATAAATTAGTACAAACGAAAAGTATTCAAATAAAAATATAAGCGCATTAAGCTTGTTTGACTTAGTGATTGACTAGAATTGGGTTATAGTGTGGTAGTTCTAGCTTCTAAGACTAGCGGAGTCAGATGTGGCGGGGGCTTCAAATATCACAGACCCATCAACAGATGTGACTCTTGTGATAGCTGTCTTGCAGAAGAAACACTCCTTACTGTTCATCAGGTGATGTGTGATACACGATCTGGACAAAGATCACATTCACATTATTGTGCAACCTCCAGCCTAACTGAAGGTTTACCCACCGTTACTTTGGGTGACGTATTCAGAAAGGAATAGAGCTCAGCTAGCTTATCTTAGAAAATTAGAGTATAGGGGCTGATAGATACACAATAGAAGAATACAAAACATAACACTGATATTCCGTCTTGATGAAGGGAGTAGGACTGAAGATAACTCAACCTAGGATCAAGTAACTCTCTTCAACCTACTCTCTAAAAAAGTCCTACAACAGGACGTAATAACAGTGTGTTATGTGTTGTCTTTTATTGTGCATCTATCTACCCCTGGAGAAAAAGGTTTATTTTCTCAGATAAGCTAGTTGAGCTTTATTCCTGTCCAAAAATTCCCTTAATTTTGTTTCTGTATCCAGGGTCTGTAGGCTAACCTTTTTTTCTTACTTTGAAAACATTTCCAAAACTCTGAACTCTTCCAGCACATAATGCCGGGTTTGTAGTACCATACTGATTTCCTCTCCTGGACGTGGACACCTACAGTTTATCAAAAGTAACCAAATGTTAGACAACTTTGTACAGAAGCACGTTGTAGAACACTAACAAGTTGTAAAGTACTTACTTGCACGACTGGTGAGTACAAGGGACGAAGGTGACTGTGAGAGGGTACGCACAACATATAGGACATAGCATATCATCATCCTCCACCTCCGACACCACAGACATGCGGTTCTTGTATCTGGTCAACACAGAGATCAGCCTAGACACAATCTCTAGCTCTGCTGCACTCACACAATCGGCATCTGAAGAAGAAAACAGATATTGCACGATTGTTTTACAAATAGTATTGACTTGTAGCTTTATATAGTCTACGATTGGGTAAAGCACAGTAATAACATGTACTGTCAAACAAAGTGGAATTTTAGTGTCATTTTGTTTGAAGAAAAAATAAAACAAATAAGTGCCTGTGTTACTACTGGATTCGTAAGCTTTTTTAATCTTCAACTGATTCAACATACAAAGATACCATACACATCCTTACTTTTTAATTATATGGATTAGGGGTCTGCGACAACTTGAGATTAGTATGATTCTGATAGAAGTTTTTGAATTTGAACATGAGTTCTTGGTTCAAAATCATAATGGTACCATTGTACCATTATATTAGATACTACACCTAAATAAATTACCTTAGCTATTATTATAAATTTATTTAGACCCATTGAGACCACTTTAACTATTTTAGTAAAGTGCCTACCTAAATTTAGGCACTACACAAACGTTTGTAGATTGCTAGCGGAAAAAAAATTTAAATAGGAAAAACCATATAATGGTGAAAACATTGCTTTAGTATGTACATAATAAAAGAACAGAAGAACATAAGACGCTAACCCTCCTAAACCAACTGTAGGTTACAACTTACAATTTCTGAATGAAAAAGTCTCCTTTACTCCAACGGCAATTTTATTTTCTCCCAACACATGTTTTAAAGAGTCGATCTGAAAAGCTGGATCCGACAGAAGACTTCTAGCAGCAATTGACATTGCTGGTCCTTCTGTAAATAAGAAGTTTCCTTTCACCCACAATAATAAACTGATGAATGAATTAATGAATGAATGAGTATAGTTTATTCCAAAAAACATACATGATATTAAAGATGGCCATTTGGAAAACCTATTTTAAATTAATGTAGATTAAAGAGTATTTTATTTGGATTTCAAAGATATCTACACCATATGTTGCAATGAAAATGTCAACCAGTACCGTTTGAGCAACAGGCCTGCTGGATTTTGTAATTTTTAATCGTATTGTAAATATTTGTGTGTGTTACGTGTTCTAACTTCAACCAATATTTATGTCTGATGATGGCATATGATGCCGAAACAGCTATAAACAATTCAACATTTTTGAGCTACTTGACAAAGCCACTTTGCAGTTAGGTTATAGCTCAGGGGCTATAAACATGGATACCCTATGCCTAGCTAATTTTCCAGGAGACTTAGTTGAATTGTTTTGATATAGTTTTACTTAACAAGTATTTTGATTTAACAGGGTGCTGTTAAAAGGGAGTTTCTGCATGCAGAAAGTAAAATAAATAAATAATTTACGCTATTCTCATGTCAAACCGCAAAGCCATTGAAACTGTTAAACAGTCCACTAATTCTAAGTTATGTTTTAAACTCCGCTCAACTTACCTTTATCAAGGTCCTCAGAAAGTAGTGCCAGCAATACGCCCACAGCAGCAGACAATATGGGGAACTGATCTATTGAGTCAAGGTCAGGCACCTCCAGTGAGACAACATGGTTGAAACATCCAGTGGGAGACGTCACTCTCAACAGGATCTGCCCAAGTAGCTGTACAAAGGATAACAGTTCAGAACACTTGAATGTAATCCCTCCTTTTTCTAAAAGTTTAATTCTTTAACTTAAGTTCAAGTTGTGTAAGTCATGTCACGAACCTCAATCTTATTTAATGGATGGTTGGGGACAGAAAAATCATGTTCCCTGGTGAGAAAATGGCTAGAAAATTACAAAATTAGCTCACTAACTCAGCCAGAACTGTACACAGAAAACTGTATAGTAGGCAAGAAAAGAAAAAAAAATACAATATACGTTCTTTTTGTAGTTTTGTTCAAGTAAAGGCTCTAGGCCAGGATTAATGTCCCTGACTCCTACCTTCTGAGCTAGCTAACCTGAGGAAACTAAGAATAAGCTTTTACTGGGTTTGTGTATTTAACTTGTTGTTACAATTAGATTGCAAGTTGTCCTTTCAGTTTGCCTTGTTACACATAACTTCAGGCTAGACCTTGAGGGTCGTGGCATTATAACGTAGCCATTAGTGAATAGCAGGTAGGATTTGAACCCACAACCTTTTGAACCGAGCCTTACCTGAGTGAGCCGTTCCAGCAGGTTTTCAGCACTTTCCCTGGCCATGTCCGTGAACACCTCCGGACACACTGTACACACCATCTCCAGCACTCGCAGCAGACTCAGTACAAAGTCAAAGCAAGTGGCACAGATCTTGAGTTGCCGAGCGTCGATGACCACTCGCTCAGGTCTCTTAGACAAGTTTTGTATCTGTAAAAAAAGATTAAAGTAGTGATATATCAAAGCTGAATTTCTTTCATGAAATGGTTCGAGAAAGAAATCTTATCAAAACGAATTGCTCAAGCATAAAAAATTATACAGTTAAATATCGTCTTTTTAGAACTCAGGCATGTAAACCTTGAGAAGACAAAACAAAATTTGTAAAAAACTTTTAAAAGCACACATTATATTTAAGAACTAGTAGGCTACTAAACATAATTGAGTATTTGAGTGGTAATTGCGCTTGCTTGGCAATGAAAAAGTCCACAGATTTGAGATGGTTATAAAGCTACGGTTTCCAAGATCACGCCGGGCGGACAGCGTGAGTGGACAAGCGTGATTACGTAATCAAGATAAAATTGAAGCCATGCTTTTATATGGGTGCGGTTTCCAAGCGCAAGCGATCATGCCGGACATGAGTTTTCCCACCATCTGAGACCTGAGCGTGGCACACTGAAAATGACCTCAGTCATTTCTGATGTGCACGCCGAGCGGACAAGTGTAGGATTCTTGAGGATCCTCATTTTGTTTTGAGCTATAATACTGTTAAATCCGCTTTCTTGCAAACCTCCCTCACGCCGAGCTTGATCGGACATTCGCCGGACCAAAATTAGCGCCAACGGACATCACATGCAAAGGAAGCTATTAGACAAGTTAGGAGGTGAAATTATACCTCTTGAATCATGCTGATGAACTCAGAGAAAGACCAGTTGAGCTGCTTCAGCACAGAGTTGAGGAACTCAGCGGCCAAGTGTTCATTCTGCCTCAGCATCTGAGCGACCAGCTGTTGGTACTGTTGTGACGGACACGGCTCTGTAACTCAACAATACTGTAGTGAATTCAGATGTTAAATAACACTGAAGACATAGGCCTTGCCTTAAATTAGTAAATGTACCACTTTTATTACCCAATCTTGTTGGTATTGAGTTAGGTTAGCTTAGCTGGAAATGCCATGTTGAAAATCCAGCCAATGCCTTAGTTGAGTAAAAATAGGTGGAAAATCTTCCGTGACCGTGGGAGACGACGATGATGTCTCCACAACCTCGGGAAATTATCACAATATTATCTTGATTTTGGCTTGGCTGAAATAATCAGGCTGGCACACCTCTACTCATTCTGATCAATACCCCTCATACATAATGTAAAGATGTAATTAAAAGAAAACTTTATACTTGAATACCTGTTTCTCCTCAAACAGCTATTAGCTTGAGAAGTAAATGTAGCACTGCAGTGTTACCGAAAAACACATGTGAAAAGTGAATCTAATTCAATTACCAAACACGACTCACCAAATGCCTGCTGTATGAGCAGGTTGGAGTCCGCCCCGGGAGTGCGAGGACCGAGCTTTTTACTGAGGTGAGGAGACTTGATGTAGCGGAAGGCAAAGCCACAACCTTGCCAGATCCTCATCAAGATCCAGTTACTCTGGCCCCACGGTCGGTTGTCATACGGCTGTAGTAGCATAGAGACCAGTGCCTGCTGGCTGCAAATCAAACATTGAGATGAGATCCCAACCCATTGAGATGGATTTCTAAATAATTGAGATGGGTATTTAATTCATAGAGATGAGGTACAACTAATTGAGACAGGTATCCAAATTTATAATAGATAAAAATTATTGTGATAATTGTCCCAAACATTGAGATGAGAATTCAAATTTTACTGTGATGAGTATCCAAATCATTGATATGAAGCTTTATCCGCTATGCAAAATGTATTAAGTGTAATAATAGCAATTTTTTCCCATAAACACAGGGGCAATTTTTTTAAGGGTAAAATTACATTAAATTACAAAAAAATTATCAAAACAAAGATCTATGTGTATTACCTTTGATGTGATATGTTTTCAACAATTTCCAGTGTAGGTTTCTTGGCTACAAAGCCTGCTAGAGCTTCAATCATCGAGTCTTTGCTTCCCAAATTCACTATTCTCGAGTCTGTGAAATGTTTCACCAAAAATTCTGCAACCTGGATCATTAGTTTTTTGTGATCTGGAATGAAATATAACTTCCTTAATGTGTGTACATTTATTGTAATTATATACCAAAAGATACAAAACATTTTCATAAACACTACAAAAGTACAGTCACATTTTAAACTTTGTTGAAGATAGAAGATGGTATATACATAGTTTGGGAACAGAGAAAATGGATAACAATAAGTACTTTGTCTTGTGGGTGGATTTGGATTTAAAAATGTTTTAGAAGAAGCTAAAAGTTAAAAACGAACTTATCAACAATCATAGCCCTCTAGAATAGATAGATTCATAGTTCATACCCGAGTATTAGAATACCTACCAATAAATTCTTGCAAAGGCAGTGTTGGACTGAAGTAGCTGCGGATTGCCACACAAAGCTCCACCATCGTCTCCACATAAAACTCTGGCACAAAGGCGAACAAATCACCATGTTGAGAGGCTCTCTCTAATGTGTTCAACACAACTCTCAACAGCCACACCAGGCTGGCTCTCTTGTCTGATGTCAACACTCCTCCTCTCATCCACAACATTGACACCCTGGACTGCTCCTCTAGCTTGTGTTCAAACACCTGTCAACAGTTAGAGACTCTTTACTCTCACCCACAACATTGACACCCTGGACTGCTCCTCTAGCTTGTGTTCAAACACCTGTCAACAGTTAGAGACTTTACTCTCACCCACAACATTGACACCCTGGACTGCTCCTCTAGCTTGTGTTCAAACACCTGTCAACAGTTAGAGACTTTACTCTCACCCACAACATTGACACCCTGGACTGCTCCTCTAGCTTGTGTTCAAACACCTGTCAACAGTTAGAGACTTTACTCTCACCCACAACATTGACACCCTGGACTGCTCCTCTAGCTTGTGTTCAAACACCTGTCAACAGTAAGAGACTTTACTCTCACCCACAACATTGACACCCTGGACTGCTCCTCTAGCTTGTGTTCAAACACCTGTCAACAGTTAGAGACTTTACTCTCACCCACAACATTGACACCCTGGACTGCTCCTCTAGCTTGTGTTCAAACACCTGTCAACAGTTAGAGACTTTACTCTCACCCACAACATTGACACCCTGGACTGCTCCTCTAGCTTGTGTTCAAACACCTGTCAACAGTTAGAGACTTTACTCTCACCCACAACATTGACACCCTGGACTGCTCCTCTAGCTTGTGTTCAAACACCTGTCAACAGTTAGAGACTCTTTAGTGATTTCAACAGCCACACCCTCCACCTGGAGGTATGTGTTGCTTTCTTGTCTGGTATCATACATTCTGTGGAAGAAAGTTTGACCATTTCGGTTACCATCTTAGAAAATACACCTTGGCTTAAAATAACATTCAAGACAGTTTTAAAAATGCTTTGGGAGTGAAGTAAAGTCTTGTCATGCCCTGTTTTTACCATTATCCCTAACCAAGAGTGATTCTGAACTTTTATTATCTGTTAAATAACACAAACAGGAATTCTTATGCTAACAAATATTCTCTAACCCTTTGTATTGGTGACAACAAAAGATTCAGACAACTTCTTTCGTATTACAACTAAAAATTAGGGATGGACGGGTCCCGAAATTTCAGGAATTTTTTGGGAAAAAAAATATTCCTGATTATCGGGACGGGATTACATTTGACTCGGGAATTTTTCGGGACGGGATTTGGTCCGATTGTCGGCGATTTTTCCGATCGCGCTGTGACCACGAGTCATACCGACGATCACGCGGTGACCGCGAGTCATACCGACAATCGCGAAATGACGGCGGAGTCCTACCGACGATCGCGCCGTTACCGCGGAGTCATACTGACGATCATGCCGTGATGGTGAGTCATACCGACGATCACGACGTGACCGCGGAGTCCTACCGACGATAACCCCGTGACCGCGGAGTCATATCTAATTCAAAATAGAACCTAATAGAATAGAATAGAATAGAAACTAATTCAGTTTTCTGCATCCAATATTAACCAAGAAATAATTGTAAATACAAACTTAACTACAATTCATTCACAACAGTCAATAAATTGTTTGGGAATAGAAATTGATTCACAACTAAATTGGCAAAAACACATTAAAAACCTATCAAAAAGACTACGCTCAGCAACATTTGTTCTCACAATAATTCGGGATACTACTAATCTAGAAACACAAATAGTAGTATATCACGCATATTTTTCATCGATTATGAATTATGGAATTACTGTATGGGGCTCATCAAGCCAGGCCAAAAAAATATTTATTCTCCAAAAAAGAGCTGTAAGATTAATGGCCAGAGTCTCCCGTAGAACACATTGTGAAGATTTATTTATTAATTTTAAAATTTTAACTTTTTTTAGCTCTTATATTTACAAATTGGCATTAATGGTTAAAAGTGATTTCGACACATTCATGGACTGTCAACAATCTCATCCACATAACACAAGATTCAAAAATATTATAAAACCAGTTCAACATAGGCTTAAAATCTTTCATTTATCCCCTCAGTATATGGGACCAAAAATTTACAATAAATTACCCGCTGGGATTAAAAACATTGCCTCATTCTCTAAATTTAAACTATCTTTAAAAAATTTCCTTTTGGAGAGGGCATTTTACTCGTTAGAGGAATATCTGGAAAATGAGTATATTTGAAAGATATTGCTTCTCCCATAGGTTTGTAGCTTATTATATGCTTTATTTCTTTTGTAAGCTATTTTATTTTAAAATGTAGTATAGTATTAGTAATAGACTTTGTGACAAATCACCTGTCAAGAGAATTGATGTAATGTGATGATGTTTAATAAATAAATAAATAAATATCGACGATCGCGCCGTGACCGCAAGTCATACCGACGATCGCGCCGTGACCTCGAGTCATACCGACGATTGCGCCGTGACCGCGAGTCATGACGACAATCGCGCCGTGACCACGAGTCATGACGACGATTGCGCCGTAACCACGAGTCATGCTGACGATCGCGTCGTGACCGCGAGTCATACCGACGATCGCGCCGTGACCGTGGAGTCATACCGACGATATCCCCGTGACCGCGGAGTCATACCGACGATCGCGCCATGACCGCGAGTCATGACGACGATCGCGCCGTGACCGTGGAGTCATACCGACGATAACCCCGTGACCGCGGAGTCATACCGACGATCGCGCCGTGACCGCGAGTCATGACGACGATCGCGCCGTGACCGTGAGTCATACAGACGATCACCCCGTGACCCGCGAGTCACAAGTTTTATAGGTACCTGTAAATTGTTACCCATTTTTTTGTTTTTATAGATTAGTGCCACAAATGGTAAAAATTGATTTCGTATGTCTTTTTTGGTAACTGCAATACAGTACATTCTTTTTATGCACAGAAAAAAATCCCGTCTCGTCCCGTCCCGAAAATCGGAAAGGAAATAAAAATCCCGTCCCGTCCCGTCCCGAACTAAAAATTCAATCCCGTCCATCCCTACTAAAAATGTTATAAATCCTGCAAATGTATAATATATGTATCTAGGTCTATAATAAAATGTTACTTACTTGAATGGAGGCTTCAATTTCTTTTACTGATTCTGGATTATTTTTCTTAGCTAAACTTAACCTCAATTTGGCCTCATTCAGAGATTTGATATATTTGTCCATCTCATCTCTAAGAGCGCTAACCTGAAAATTAAAAAAAAATTTCTTTCTAAAAATCAATGATATTTGTTTGAGAAATTGTATTTTACCAATGAAATGTATGGTTCTTTCGTTACTAGTTCATCATTAGTACAGATCTCAATTTACAGAAAATAGTCATGCTATGTGTTATACTACTAACATGTTGTCATGTGGTAGCATCGACTGACATTAAGACTCTTGTGATGGTGCTAAAGTATATTTTACTTATTAAGTTTTTACGATTACTCGAATAGTTTCAAGTGTTCCAAAATTATTATCTTTTTTTCCAAGAAAGGCTCTAAGCAAGGATTTGGAATTGTAGTAAAAAAAGGATAACAGCTTGCTTACCTTGAAAAAGTGTAGATAGGAAAAATATAACGAGATAACGAGATATAATACAAGAGAAGTGACACTGTGCACACAATATGGTGTCACATTTAAGTTATCAACATTGTTCACTCAGAAGTAGAGACTAGGTTGGAAGGTCCAGGCTGCCCTAATTGTACAAGGTTTGCCACAACAGGTCTCATGCTGCCAGAAGTAGAGGGCGGGTTGGAAAGTCTAGGCTACCTTCCAACCCACCCTCTACTTCTGAGTGAACAATGTAGACATATTAAATGTGACATGCCATATTGTGTGCACAGTGTCTCTTCTGTTCTATTCGACCTACCTACACTTCTTCAAGATAAGCTAACTGCTATCCTCCCTTTTCTACAATTCAATATAACTATTTTTGTCAATTTATTCTATTGTTTAAGATTTCCTTTATTTATTACTAGGGTGGTTACACAATCTTAAATCCAACATTTCATCATGGCAATAATGCTTCTGACTCATATAGCATTTTTCTGTGAACATTCAATTCGCCACCGTAAACATGTTCATGTTTTCATGTTGAACTTATGATTTATCAGTAGTAACTTAAAATTTGTACTTATTGATTTGTTATCTTGCAAATGGCACGACCACAAGCACTGTTTTTTTGCTTATGATTTAAGTGTTCCTGTTGATTAAAGCAACAGGAAGTAATAATATTTCATTTACATGTAATTTTAACCAACTTCAATATTTGTTTTGTCAGTTGAATTTTGTTATTGTGTTTAAATTACTTTTCTCATCTGTCTCTTCGTCCCTCCTACCTTCTGCAGTTGTTTGTGAGCAGCCAGGCTGTACAACAGTACCACTCCGTCCAGCAATTCGACCAGTGACTCATGACTCTGCAGAGGTTCTGGCTGAACGTCTTCTGACTCACGCTGCGAAGGGTAGGTTAGGTTGGCCCACCGAGTCATCGCCAACATCGCTCCTGTGGCATCCATTCCACGAACTTGGATCTGCACTGTATGTAAGATAAGTACTTAGTGAAATCATTTTTTTAAATTCAATTTTAGTTTTGGTGTTTTTGTGTCATCTAAGAGATTATTTCGGACATTTTTTATTTTGATGAGATAATTTTTACATTTTAAGATCTTCAATCTTATCCTATCCTAAGATGGGAAAATACCTCAAAATATGACAAGATTGGTACACTAACCCAGCTAAAGCTGGAATACAAAAACAGATCATGAAGAGTACTGTACAGTAATAAAATTGGAAGCAAAAAATATAGAAAGAAAACAATTATTTGCACAAAAAGGAGGGTAGGCAAACACGATGGATACGTCCACACAAAATAAGCCACTATATTTTTTTCTACACAGTAGACTTACTCAATGAAGAACACACAACCACCAAATTGAAAAACAAACAAACATATAGCATCTATTATTTTGTATCAATTTCCATTCCAGGAGGGAAATAGGCTAATATGGAAAGTTGTACTTTTGAAATTTGTAAATATCGTAAACTCCCTCTTATCCACACACCTTTTAACCAAAAGTCAGTTTAACCAGACAAATTTGTTCAGCACATCGGTTTGTCTGGACTGGATCTGCAAGAAATGGACAGTACTTAGATAATTTTCGCGAGGGAAAGATTTGAGACCAGTGATACAATGCTCTCCCAAATTTAAGTAAAATATTATTGTTGGTTTTTAAACATTCTCGAGTGTGAGTGGACATCGGTTTATCCGGAAAACCCATTATCTGGACTGACCTCAGTCCTGAAGAATCTGGATGAGGGAAGTCTTGGTCTATGTGTAGACCTAACTGTTCCCATAAATTTAAAGAACCACACCATTTTCTTATCTCCATTCTCAAACTGATGTTTAGGTAAAGCAGCTAGGAAACGATTAAAAATAAAAGTAAATACATTTTTTAACTCAATTTACCATTAGTGTTGGCAGTCTGAGGTGGGTCTACCAGCATTCTGTGGTCCTCGCCTAGCTCGCTGACCAGTGAAGATTGGAACGTGTGTATCAAATGACTGAGGACACCTCCCAAGCGATCCAGCGTGAAGTAGTCGATGGAACCATCGTAGAACTTGGCAATGGGAACGTAGACAGGCACAGCTGCACACTCACGCTCCCACAATCTCCTCACAATGTTGAGCAATCGGTGGAAATAGCTCAACGCAATTGGCAACGGAGTTGGCTCTACGTTTTGGTTGTTCTGTGAACAACAGATACGTTACCATGTTTATTATTTAGTTAAATATGGTGTAAATAGAATAGAATATTTGTTTATTTTCTTCTTACAAGTCAGATACATAATACACAGGTCACAATTATTGCATATTAAAATTGACAGAAGTAAAAGGATACAAAACAAATGAACTTGATTACAGTGAGGATAAAAGTTTTTAAACTAGACTATATTCAGCCCGTTGCTTTCACCAGGCTGACAAATGACAAATTAAGATAACAAAAGAACATCTTCTAAGTATAATAAACCTGACCTGCACATTTTTAAGCCATAGAGAAAATAAATTTTGTTCAACAAATAATTTTGGCTCTGAATTCGGAGTCATCTCCAAACTGTAGCGTACATATGGACGTCCTATTTTATAAATCTTTTGCTAAAGACCATACAATTTCAATCACAAAACACTAAATTGGCGCGAAACACACATGCACACGACACAGGAACAAGTAACATAAACAATTAAATCAGCTGATTTCATTGCATTATATTTTTCAATTTAACTGTAAAAAGTGGTGTTAAATATGGACAAAAATCTATTTAAACACATTAACTTGAAACTTTAAAACAACAAAGGCAGAATTCACATCGAAATTGAAAACTTACCAGAAAGAAACTCACCAGGCTCGCAAGGTGGTTATCTTTTAAAAACCTCCTAAACATGTGCAGGAAGTATTTCCTAGAGGATGGTTCCGTCTCGGAGCCATCAGAGTTGTCAAGCAATGTTTCTAGCAAGTTCTCCTGTAGACGTTCTAGATCTAAAACACAATCACTGCATAGTTTAACCTTAGAGCAGTGGGTAATGTTAGAAATATCTCTTACCACAGAGAAGTAAGGAATAGAGGATAAACACACACTAGGAATAGAGGAGGGTACACTTAAATGGTGTCTAGGGCAAAGTCTATCACTGCCCCCCTCTCCCTTATGTACCACAACGCTCACGGAGTAGGAAGACCCTGTGCCCTGTGCGATAGGAATTTACGCAGTGTTCGCCGTTTGGGCTCTTCCTTGCTCGTCACAAATATATTTCCAGCACAACCAGAGCTGAAAGTGCATTGTTGTCCCATAAGTTTTGTCAATAACCATGTGAAACATGTGTTGCACACAGACGATTAGATAAAATTATTTAAATGAACTTTCAACAGGCTTAATTGAATGAATATGGAATTATCTACTTGACAAAAACACATCTGTCAATGGCCTTACTAACAAGAGCAACGAATCAAGATAACAAAAAAATCAGTCTGTCTCCATAGTCCCAGCAACAAAAAGGTATAGATGGAAATGTTTGGAACACAATTTCTGACTT